TTCAGTTGTATACACTGTTGAATTTCAAAAACGCGGATTGCCTCATGCCCATATACTTCTTTTTTTAGCAAAGGAAAACAAGTTTCCCGATCCTTTGGACATAGATAGAATTATCTCTGCTGAGATACCTGATGAGTCTTCTGATCCTTCTTATTATGAAGCTGTAAAAGAACACATGATCCACGGCCCATGTGGATTGGCCAGAAAGCAATCTCCGTGCATGGTTGATGGAAAATGCAGTAAACGTTTTCCAAAACCATTTCTTGAATTCACAACTGTCGATGATGATGGCTATCCGCGGTATAGGCGTCGGGACAATGGAAGACATATGGAGAAAAATGGTGTAATTGTCCATAACGGTTTTGTCGTGCCCCACAATCGGAAATTGTTGATGAAATATGGTGCTCACATAAATGTTGAGTGGTGCAATCAGTCCCGGTCCATCAAGTACCTCTTCAAATATGTCAATAAGGGCAATGATCGTGTCACCGCATCGTTTTATCAGGCGACTGGAGACGGAGAGCCGGATAAGCCTGTTGACGAGATTAACATGTTCTACGACTGTAGATATGTTTCTTCATGTGAGGCGGCTTGGAGATTGTTGGGTTATGAGCTCCAGTACAAAAAACCTCCTGTACAGCGTTTGAGTTTCCATTTGAAAGGCGAACAGTACGTTATTTTTGAGGATGAAGATCGGATTGATGAGGTTATTTAAAAACCCACTGTAAATGAGAGTCAATTTTTGGCATAGATGGAAGCGAACAAGAAGTATCCTGAGGCGAGGGAGCTCACTTATGTTGAGGCACCAAGAAAATTTGTTTGGAACCCGACGTTGAGAGAGTGGACCCCTCGAATCAGAGATGGCGCTATAGCCCGCCTGCGCTATGTTCTTCCTAACGCGGGCGATAATTTCTATTTGAGGTGCATGCTTAATGTAACCCGTGGAGCAACTTGCCACGAGGATTATATGAAGGTAGCCAACGTTCAATATTTGTCGTATCGTGATGCTTGCCACGCTCTAGGTTGTTGGGTGACGATCGTGAGTACGTTGATGGCATATCTGAGGCAAGTCAATGGGCATCTGCTGATTCCCTCAGACGCATGTTTGCAACGTTGTTGGTTTCTGGATCGTTAGGTAGACCCGAGCACGTATGGGAACAGTGTTTGGATTTTCTCTCTGATGACATCGTTTATAGACAACGTCTTCTCTTCAATAATGAAAGTATGTGACTTATTTTTTATTTATGTTTTATTGTTTATTTTATTATTTTTCATTTGCTTTTTAAGTACTATAGTCGATTTTTTATAAAATTCTGACTTTGAATTTTTTTTCCTTCTTAGGTTTGCAGCTGAGTGATGCAGATATAAAAAATTTAGCTCTCGCTGAAATTGAACATTTGTTGAGACGTCGCGGCACGAGTCTTCGGGAATATCCAACAATGCCTTTTCCTGATATGACCGGTGTTACTACGAATACAAATCGATTGATTTTGGATGAGCTAAATTATGACCGCAAGGCCTTATCAGTCGAGCACAGTAATCTTCTTAGAAATATGACTGACGAACAGAAAGGAGTTTATTCAAGAATTATGGCAGCGGTAGACTCAGGTCAGGGCGGTGTTTTCTTTGTCTACGGTTATGGCGGAACCGGTAAGACGTACTTGTGGCGGACATTAGCTGCGGCATTGCGATCGAAGGGTCAGATCGTCCTTTGTGTTGCATCGAGTGGAATAGCTTCTCTTCTGTTGCCTGGTGGAAGAACTGCACACTCTCGCTTTGGCATACCTATTAATCTTCACGAAAATGCGTCCTGTGATATCAACCAGGCTAGCCCTCTGGCAGAGCTAATTATACGGTCCTCCCTCATCATATGGGATGAAGCTCCAATGATGCATAAGCATTACTTCGAAGCTGTTCAAACGTTATTTCAGGCGATCATGGGAACGGTCAACCCGAACAACAATTATAGACCATTTGGTGGCAAGACTGTTGTTTTTGGCGGAGATTTTCGACAAATCCTCCCGGTGATTCCAAAGGAGAACCGTCAACAGATTGTTAATGCTTCAATAAATGCTTCAACCATTTGGCAAGACTGTACTGTGCTTAGGCTGACGAAGAACATGCGTCTTCAGAGCCTTGATGATTCGGATGAACGTGAGGAGCTTTCTAAATTTGCTGATTGGATTGCTAGCATCGGAGATGGTACTATTGGAGGTGTTAACGATGGTTGTGCCTCCATTGAAATACCAGATGATCTATTAATAGACCCATCCGATGATCCCATTGCTGCAATTGTTGAGAGCACGTATCCAATGTTCAAGAATGCAACAGATGATCCAAGTTATCTGAAGGACAGAGCCATTCTTGCACCTACGTTGGAGATCGTTGAGTCCATCAACCAATACATGTCGTCGTTGAATCTAACAGAAGGTCGTGTATATTTGAGCTCCGACAGTACGTGTAAATCCGATTTGAATTCTGACTTCTTGTCAGAAATCCACACTCCTGAGTTCTTAAATTCTCTCAAATGTTCTGGTACACCAAATCACGAGTTGCATTTGAAGGTTGGAACTCCGGTTATGCTGTTGCGGAACATGGATCATTCTATGGGATTGTGTAACGGGACACGTTTGGTTGTAACAAGACTCTCCAATCATGTCCTAGAATGTAGGATACTTACAGGCGACCATGCTGGGGATAAAGTGTTGATACCTCGAATGACGATAACTCCTTCGGATGCAAGAGTACCTTTTAAGTTTCAACGAAGGCAGTTCCCTATCGTGGTTTCTTATGCAATGACTATTAACAAGAGCCAGGGTCAATCCTTATCACACGTTGGTTTATTCTTGAAGAAACCAGTTTTCAGTCATGGCCAATTATATGTTGCTGTTTCGCGCGTCACCAACAGAAGGGGTCTGAAAATTCTAATATGTGGTGAACATGATTTGCCCCCAAATCAAACAAATAATGTTGTGTACAGAGAAGTTTTTAATAATATATGATTTCTTTTTTATTTTTATTTTTGTTTCTATAATTAGATGTTAAATTGAATTAATTATATTTAAAATAAGTACTTTAATATGTTTTAAATTACGCGCCCACCGTGCATCGCACGGGTACATACTAGTGGTCAAAAAGTAGGAAAATTGAAATTTTGAATTGGACTGATAAAAGTCCTCCACTCACCAACTTTTCACACGTTAATGGGCCTGTTCGAATTAATTATAATTATTATTAACTCAGTTGGTGGATTTTGGACTTTATTTTTTCGGTTCGAATAAATATAACTCGCCCCAACAAACTATCAAATATCATTATAGAGCCCCTTTTTATTACTTGATTGAACTAATCACCGAATTCACATCGACGAATAAAGCTACAAACTTCATCAAATACATCAATTAGATGATGACGTGATAAAAAGATTAACATTTTTTTTTTTTATAATTCAATAGTCTTACTTAGGAGTTAGGGCTGTTAAATGAAACGAACCGTTTGGTCGCTCAGCTCTACTCAACTTGACTCAACTGTTTGATAAAAAAAGTTGAGCACCTTTAAAGTTTTATTTAATTGTGGCTTAAAAATATTTTTGTATTTCAATAGTTTGTCTCGTTATGACTTGAGTCGACTTGTTAATATTGATAAATGAGCGAGTTCGAGCTCGATTACTGACTCATTTAGTTAAGTGCTCCGCTCGTTTACATTCCTAGTCACTCTTTCTTAGCCACGATAGGTGAGTGTAAATACGTATATGGACTGATATGACAGAAGATTAACACACCATACAGTGCGTGAGAGATTTTGAAATAATGATACATGTCTTATGGGCATAATTTAATGTGCTGAGGATAAGTAAATAAGCATTTTCAATATATCATTAAAGCATGTTTGTTATGCTAATTTGTTGTGAAAAATATAGGGGGTGATTGTTTATAATTTCTAAGTAAAAAAATCAATCAAAACTTTTAAATTTAACTCAACTTCAACCCAACCTCACTATCTCTCGTATTATCAATATAATTAAATAATATCAACAAATCATTCTTACACATCACATCAACTTTAATTCACTATTCATCCACTCACATAATTTCAACTAACTATCACCTTCAATCAATTTTTTTCTTTACATCAAATCAACATTAATTATTTTATTAAATATTATTTTAATATATCCACTAACAACTAACTATACCACTCTTTTTTAAAATTAACTATAGTTAAAAAACAAACCAAATAAAAATTAGTTGAATCCATAACCAATCATCCTCATAATGATTATATAATATTAAATGTATATAGCGTTGGAGCTAACAAAATTAATCTGGTCACAGACTGATCATAATTTTGCTTGGGACCGGGCTCACATTTTATAAACCCAAATAATGTGGCTTTCGCTTGGCCCATGAGCCCGATTGGGCGTTGACTTTTATGGCTGGATACGCTATTTGTAAAGTTGCTGAGTCGCGGAAATTTTTTGTCTAATAATTCAAACTACTTCTATTCTAGTTATTTAAAAGGTCCCATTGAAAAAATTTACATGGCCCTTTGGCTATATAGACTTTGCTAAAGTGTTAGGGTGTAATTGGAATAAATGATGACCATCAATCACAATTTAATTTAACTTTAATTAAATTCTAACTCTTTACAATATTCTAAATATAATTAAATATTATTATTTAATCGTTTTTATATATTACATCAATTTTAATTCAAATCAAATTGTAGATTTGATAAAAATTCCCACCCCACACATATAATAATAACATGCTATAAACGTGACACTTGAGGAATGTTACCAAATTGTGGACTTTGGACTGACTTGGGCCAGAGGCCCAAACACGAGTCCATTGGCAGAGCAGATTTAGGTGATGTCACGCGGTGCGTTACGTATCTTTATTCTTATCCTACTTTGGACAGCGCTTAACTACTTTGTGCCAGAAAAAAGTCGTGCGCCTTAAGACAGCAAAATAAAATATTAAATCAAAAATTTAAATATAAATAAATAAATTAAAATAAAACCTCAATCCAACGGTGAATTGAATTAATCGAGGAAAATTAGGAAAAATAGAAAGAAGGGAGAAGAACAAAGGTTGACACTTTCATACATCTTCCCTTTCATCTGCTCCTCTGAGGCTCTCTCTCTACCTTCCGCCAACTCTCATCCCAACTTGCGTTGCGCCTAATAAATTACCCGATTATTCGAGCAATTCAGTGTTGAGTGGTGTAATTTAGTTTTAATTTAATTGGGCGGAGCTTAATTTGTGAGTAAAATTAGGGTTCCCGTGAATTTGGCTGTTTCGTTTTGGAGTTATGGGTTTGGGAGATGCGGATCTTCTCGACGATGGCGACGGAGGCGGTTGCAAAGCGTCGTTGGCGGCGGCGGTTTCGTGCTCCATTTGCTTGGAGGTGGTGGCCGACAGCAGGGAGAGATCTCGGGCGAAGCTTCAATGCGGGCACGAATTCCACCTCGGTGAGTGATGAGAAAACTTTGGAAATTCGTTGGGTGGCGATCGTGAATTAGTGGATTCAAATTCGCGTCGATTTGTCTTAGAAAACTCGTGAATTTTGACTTGGAGTGATGGGGGGCTGGGTTTCATTAGTGTGTTGTGAGATGATTTTGTTCGGATCACGATGTCCAATTAGTTTTTTCCGTGGCCGGATTGGAGAGTGCGAACCTCCGGTTCCAAGATCTGGGAATGGAGTGGGTTAGCTGAAAAATTATGTGGGGTTCTATTGAGTTTTGAGATTGTAGTTTGGTGGCCTGAGCAAGTTTTTAACTTGGGCAAAGAATGAGTTTGGGAGCTCATTACCATGTTTGAACGCTCTGTGCCTGCGGTCCTTTTCGTCTATTTAAGAATTTTGTTTCAATGTAGGACTGTGTTTGATATAAGAATCATATGGGATCTTGATTAGTGTGATGTGATGTTTTGATAAAAGTCTGTGATTTTAATTTTCTGTAAATTTAGGAATGGGAGATGGCAAGAGCTCTGATTGACATTTACACGAAAAGGTCTTTAATTTCATTAACTGTAGAATATAAGTAGGTAGGGTTCATAACATATCTCTAGAGCTGGCAAGTTTATTACTTAATGAAGTTTGATCTTGATCCCAAAACGTTTTTGGATCGTAACATAATCATTTTGTCTGTGCTTTCTTAGGTTGGTAAACTCCTAGATTGGATTTTTCATTGTTTTTTGCATGTAATATCTTGACTTGTTATCAATTCCATTAGTTTTTCATTTATATCATTCATATGTCATTCATGTATATATATATATATATACATACATACATACATATATTTTTATATATAATATATTATCGATTGAGAGTTTTTCCAAGTTGTTTTGAGAAGTTCATTTGTTTCTGTTTTTTTAATGCTCGACATTTCCTCGATTTGTTTTCCATTTTTGTCCATTTTAAGGGCCCACCTAGACATTATTAAAGACCTTAACATTAACTACTACATTGGTTCTTATATTCTTTTGGTATAATTACATTAATAATTCTCTTGTTTTTATCATAATTTACTAATCTAGTCTGGTGTTTATGATGTTTGTGCGCCTCAGTTGATATAGAGATTTGGTAAATCGTACTCTATAAAGCACGTGTCGTGCTGTGGTGGATCTTTAAAACTTCCATGATCGCCTGGACCATCATGGACTATCCCTGAAGTAGTTTAAGTATGGAAGGAATACCTACTCCTATTATTTTGATATATAGTATTAAATATCTGATGTTTTGATGAATTCTAGTTGGATCGTTTTATTTGATGGCATGCATCAACTTTCATTGCTCTGTGATGATAATGATCTTTATGGCATCTTCCTAGACAGTAAAACAATTTTCTTGCCTGAGGCCTCAGTTATCCTGATTATTTTTATTTATTGTACTTCAAAAGCTTTAATTTCTCAGTTATAGAATTAGATTGTATAAAACTGCTGTTTCATTTATCACATCTCTATATGGTATGATGCATGCAGATTGCATAGGTTCAGCATTCAATATTAAGGGAGCCATGCAGTGTCCAAACTGTCGGAAAATTGAGAAAGGCCAGTGGCTATATGCAAATGGTAGCCGTCCACTACCTGAGTTTAGCTTTGAGGATTGGGCTCATGATGAGGATCTATATGATTTAAGTTATTCTGAGATGGTAAATATCTAAATCCAACTTATTATCATCTGGAGATTTTATTTATATTCTGAAGTTAGTAAGTGACTGTATTTCTCTCTGTTTCCATTCTTTATTTTCCAATGGACCAGTTTATCTTTAATATGAATTGTTGATTGATTATGTGTTCCTCGTCAAAATGCTTTTAATACCTCATCCTCATTAAAATTGTCATGAGTAGTGCAGGACCTGGCTTTTGCTGTGTGGAGTTTTAAAATAAGTAAAGTTGTAAGAAAATTAGGAACATCAAAAGGGTGTTTTAGCTCAGTTTTCTATTCTTCATGGAAGCGTTTGTGTTTAGTTGAGAATATCCTTAAAAATGCCAACATAAGCTGGAGCATTATTTAGTTGATATGATCCTATGTGTGCTGTAGGCTTCAATTTAGATGCTTATTTTATCACGTGCAAGCTGTCAGATCAACCTAAATGGATTTATCCATATATTTGCTAATGGTGTATCACTTTACTAAATTTTTGCAGTTCAAAAAAATGACTGAAATAGAACCTAGCTGTCCTAATTCCAGTTTCATGAATATTTATCAATTGTCTTGTGGCTGATTGTGTGCTATCTCCTTAATCTTCCCTCAGTCTCGAGTTGCCGAGGTCTATTATGTACATAACTATGTGGTGTATGGGTCTTGTAGAATTGATATGTGGTGTAGCTTAATGAATTATTTAATTTAGTACATGAAGCCACTCTTTTGTTGTAAAGCCCTTAATGTAACCAGATTAATATTAGTTACATGTTAAAACTCAGTATTCGGCTTATATATCTTTCCAGCTATTATCTGTCATATGAAATGAATGTCAGATTAAATTGTATCTCTGCACATGAGACATTGTGACTCCATTTTCTGATTGCGCATGTGAAGTTAAGCTGCAAACCTATCTTTTAGATAGAATTACTAATTTCTTCTAAATGGATGTTTGCAGTCATTTGGACTTCATTGGTGTCCGTTTGCAAGGGTCCCTACATCGTTTGGGTAAGCACACTATCTTCTACCTTTGTCTCTTTTAGCTAGTTAAACTCCAAATATTTTAGGTTCTTTCCTGAAAGTTCAGTATATAGAGTACAATGTCAAAAGCTTGTAAAGGTATAGTGTGGTTGGCTAAATTTTCATTTCACATTTGTTCTTCTACCTAGGTACTTATTTTGACTGACACAACATAACTTCAGATTTTAGAAAATTTTCAGTATGGTAGAATAATCCATATTCCCATTTTGTTGGTCATCAATGAGCTGAATGAGGTATATCCTTAAGCGAATCATGTGAATGTTCCATATTTGAATATGTGCCAACCGTTATGAATATGACTTTTTTGACAATTACCATGAACTTGGTGGTTGTGAAATCTATTGTCTGCTTAGGTCTCGTAACGAATTTCATGATCTTTTATACTTAGAAGGACAAAATCAGCCACTGTCCGTAGTTAATATTTCATTATTTTCAGCCTGGTCTAATATAAATAGATATAATTTACTATCCAAATCGAGACTATCAAAAAGTGAAAATAGCTCAAACAAAGGTCTCTATAAAAAGTTTTTTTGTTGTACATCTCCTATCCAAAAATTCATGTAACTGCATGAATCCTGGGTATTCTAGCTGACATCATGTTTTTTGGTAATGAAATGTTCGAAATGCTATGAAGGGAACTGCTGTAAAAGGGGTCACAGGAAATCACTTTAGATGGAGTCTCTTTGCCGAAATTTTAAAATTATTTGTAACATTTATCTTACTATATAAGATTCATTGAATACTAATTACTACATTCCTCCTCTGTTCATTCCAGCTTTTGCTAATATGTTACAAATACAAAAACGCAGTTGACTATTTTTAATTTTTGGTTTCCTTTTTGTTTTGGTCATGTAGAAAGCCTTTTGCTGCTTGGTATTTGGTGTAGTATACTATTTGATTAGCCTCAACTGCAGTAAGAGGTTCTTATCCTTTTTTATTTAATATTTATTTTATGTTTCTATTCCATGCTTTCTTGTTCCTCTTATCTTTCACTTAGCAGCTGTTCAGCTAACAATCACTTAATTTCTTTTTGCAGTGAAGGAGAGTTTTCATCAAGTGCATGTAAGACTCGTTAACCTCTTCTATCCCACTAAGTATAAGATCAAGTCTCTTTCATAATATGCATAATTTTTTATTTTTTTATTTTTTTTCCATAGATCATGATCTTCTCGGGCCACATGCTGTCTTTGCGGAACATACGCCCGTCTCATCCACATCCCATCCTTGCCCTTACGTTACATATTTTGGGCCGATCCACCCATCTTCTTCTGCATCGAGTGGGAGTGTTTCAGATGGATCTAGTTTTAACAACCACTGGAATGGCCCATCGGGCCCAAGCCCAACTGATGTCCCCAGCCCTTATGCTTTCCAGTCTATGGATTTACATTATCAAAACTGGGACCAGACTTCAGCTTACACCACAAACACTCGGATTGCTAGGAATAGCTCCGATATCCCGAGAGCTGGAATGCATCCCTTCATTGTTGGTCACAGGTTGGTGTTATTATCACTCCTGAATCATTTCTTTCTAAAAGGGAAAATATATTAAAACCCCAATCAATTGGGGAAATGTAAGACAGATCAAACCCCAAGCAAACGATGTCTTCTTTCCTAATTTAACCCCCCGAACGATTTATAAAGTTCTGAGCCAGTCAAGAGAAAAGTCTTAAACCATAAGTGCATGCTTGGATACATGTTTTTTTTTCAAATAAATTTCAATCTCAAGTCAAATCTAACTCAAACCCACTATCTTATCAATATAATTAAATAGTATCAATCAATCATCCTTACACATCACATCAACTTTAATTCACTATTCATCATTTCACATAATTTTTACTTCTAATCACCTCTCTTCTACTTTTACATTAAATTAACTTTAATTTTTGTATTTTAAATATTATTTTATACAAACTCAGGGTACGTTTGTTTATTAAAAAACTCAATCCATATTCAAAATTTAACTCAATTTTAATTCAATCCTACTATCCTCAAATCAATCACTCTTACACATCACATCAATTTTAATCCACTATTCATCCACTCACATAATCTTAACTAACCATCACTTCATATCATCTATTTCCTACTTCTACATCAAATCAATTTTAATTATTTTATTTTAAATATTATTTAAATATAAACTCAAAATCCCACTAACAACTAACCATTCCAATATTTTCAAATTAAGTCTGGTTAATAATTATTTTTTTTTTCGAGAAGATATATTTGTTTCCAAGCACGCCCTCAAAAGTCCACTCAAACCTAACCACACCTACTTCTCAAAATTAACCTTGGTTAATTAATAATACTAAAAAAAAAACTTATAAAATGTTTCCTTTGACCAAAAACAAGATCGTGCGACTTGCTTATTAATGTTTATTATGTATATATAATTACAGTTCTGCAAGTCGAGCGCCAAGCTCCATCACCTCATCAGTTCATCGGGCTATCAGAGTCTATCAGAGTTTGGTTTATTCCCACCGCGCTTAAAGTAACGTCCGACCTTCGCCATCAATAGACTCTGATAGCCCGATGAATCAGTGCTGAGATCGAAGATGCACTTTGGGTTTCGACGAATGCGTCATATTTTCCGGGTTATGCCCAAGATTTACCCGGTAAATGATGCTACTGAAAACGCTAATGAATGATTTTCATGCGTTCATTTGCTATGTGTTGATTTGTGTGAGTGTTTGTATGTGTGTTTGAGCTGTTCTACCTCTCATCTTCTGCGTTCATTTATTTGCTTGGTTTATCGTGTTGAAGGTACTGTACATCACTTATCTGAGGCGAGCGTAAATGGTTTAGCGAGTGCTCGTTCGACTGGTAGGTGGTGTAATGCGAGCAGTAACATCTCTTGGAGGCTAGATTTGGCAGGTTGTCAAGAGCGAAGGTAAGGGTTTCAATTTTTACCGAGTAATTTTCTGTAAACTTCTACTTTAACTATTTTGTATGGTAGCAAGAATTAAATAACTCAGAAGCTGAAACTAAGTGCAGATTCTTGATTGTAAGTATTAAATTGGACAGGGGTGTGAAGTTCTTTTTGTTGGATTATGGTATTCCTTTGGAAAATGCATACAGTAGTGTTTATGATGTGTTGTACTAATCTAATTATGGCATGTATATCAGGTAGAATACTAAAAAGTTGCAAATATTTTCCATGACTATATATGTAAAATGTGTCGTTGGTGTACTGTATTTTTCTGGACCAAATTGGATGAGTAATATTTCCTCTTTTTGGGCTGCAGAGAATCAACCTGAACCTAAACTGTGTCGAATTTCAATGGTCTGGTTATGTGGTTCTTTTTTGAATCAGTAATTTTGCTACTAACTGGACATCTGTATAAATACAGCCAAACCAATTGTGTGAGCAATTACAAATTTTGATCTTTGTATGACCATCTTCTCATAGGTTTTCTAATATTTCCTTATTCCACTTCATGCCTATAAAGCTAGTCAGTTTTTCCATGAGTGGTTCTCCCTCCCTTCTTCCCTCTCTAGCATTCTAACTTGTTAATGATAGCCTTTTCCAGGTATTCCTCCATATCAAAAACAAAGCGTCCTACCTCTTCAAATGAGTTTTGGTCAATGCTTAGGTCTTCTCTTAATTAGCCAAGAGGTGAGAGTGCTTGTTTCTTTTGAAGCTATTATTGCTCATTCAAATTTTAAAAGAATGGATTAGATCAAGACAGTGAGATATATGTAGGGTTGTTATCCGTGTTGTATAAGTTAGGGATTGGAAATTCTCAGGAGTCTTGAGGAATGAAGATATGATTTCATGGTCTGCCTTTAGGGATTGGAAATTCTCAGGAGTCTTGAGGAATGAAGATATGATTTCATGGTCTGCCTGAGGTTTATTTGGCACGTCATATGTTGACCTCTAAGTTCACATATTGCCTGTGTTCCCGGTCTGAAGTTTTTGGGCTTGTGTTATTTGAGTAAAAAGTGGTTGCTAATATTACTGTTAGCACTACTTTATCTTCATACAGACTCAACAGACAGATTAATCTATGATATAAGATTTCAGTGTTATTTGCTAAATCAGACTCTCATACAAATGTACTTCTAGGCCCTTATTGGTGCTGGTTAAACTTTTATTCGAGCAGCAAGAATTTATTCAAGGAAGACCAAGTTTTCCTAGAGCAACTACAGCTGAAAGCAAGAATCCAACAGATGACACATACTTCACCAATTTCGACATAGATTTTACATCAACCACAATCCATCCCTTTTCTTGCCTATATTTCAGAAAAAACTAAAAGGTATCAATAAAGCACAAAAATGGTTGAATACAGTAGTTCATGAAGTTAATGTAACCTAAACAAGCCTAAAGCCTGATATTATATAACTGAGGGTTTGAAAAAAAAAACCCTAAATCCTTATTATTTGGAGAAAAAAAAAATGAAGCAACAAAGAAAAACAGACTGCTTCATTGAAGAAGGGGTGAAAGTTCTGCAGGAATACAACACCCAACATGGATAGTTGATATCCTTCCAAATCAATGAAGATTAATTTTTTTTAAAATCTAATGTTGTTAGTTGCTACAGAAAAACTTGATTGGCAACTCCTGAAATGCTCTAAGCCACAGAACAAACTAACATTGGGTGGACTGCACCTAAGATATAATGATCGAATTTATTCAAACAAATGCTAGAAGAAAGTGTGTGAAATCCATGCAATCAAATTTCAAAATGCCCATTGAGAAAATATAAATTTAGCGAGAAATTTATACTAAATTTATACAAATTTTGCCGAAGAGGAAACTCAGTAGCATTATCCTTTCTACAATTAAAAATGTTGCATCTCGCAGCCCCACCATTTAGCTGAAAAATCTAATGGATCCCACTCAAACCATTTGAGATAAAACAAAAAGCCAAGAGCCAAAAGTACAGGAACGGCCATATGAACGATATCTACCATTAAGTTTCTCTTATAAACTCAGATCAAGTGAAAGAAATCACAATCCATAAATGAATCTGCCAGACCAAAATGACATTTTTCAATTTAAGAAAAAACCCAGCCACCGGTTTTGAGTATCAATTAAAATGCTAATAAATGCATCCAAAAGGGATGTCACCTAATATTAATTCTTCTGAAGGTACAATTCTAAAAGCTCAAAAATCCAAAAACCCACATTCGCAATTCAACACCAGTCTCCGATAAAATACAGACTAATACAAAATTTCAAGAATGTGAGAAGGCAAGCAAGCAAGCGGGAATCCATGAAAAAGACATAGGATGAACAACAGTTCAAAAAAAAAAGGAAAGAAATATTCAACCACAAAAACCCTAAAACCCTAGTTGCTGAACAGTGTGTATACCTCGATCAAAACAACTCTGATTGAGCATGAAAATCACTTCCTGTCGGAAGCTTGGGCAACCGGCGGCTCCAGGAAATACCGAAATAGAGAGAAGTGACTGGAGAAGATTTTTCTACAAGAATTTGATGTGATTTTATCAAGACACTTTTTTTTGTTTGTGTTATTTATATTTTGTTTTAGCTCTTATCCAATTCTAGCTTGGCCCATCTCTGTTTGGGCTTAAATCTGATGCCCATATGAACTTTCTTAATCCACCGTCTACCGTCTGACAGAAAAAAATATGTCATACTTATTAATTTTACCAACTCAATAATAATCATAATAATAATAATAATAATAATAATAATAAATGACTGAAAAATGATTCTTAATTATATTTTTTTTATCAGAATTATAATTTAAATCATAATATTTTTATGCAATTTTTTTTGTCTTTGTACTAATTGATGGCTTGTTTTTTTTTTTTTCCGAAACGATAGATAGTTATATAAATCAAAATGCACAAATGTGCGAATACACAGCAGCCAACGGCTGAATACACAGCAGCTAACAGCTGAAAAAGTGGGAGGACAGGTCAGAAGACCGCCTAGAATCCCGACTAGCAACGCTAGAATAAAAATACACACTCATAACTAACCTAACCAACAACACAGACAACTATAACAACTACAAGGACCCCAACAGGGTAATACCCGAGTGTCGGACCCCAACGGAGTAATAAGTTTGACACCCGGGCTCACAGAGGCCAAACGGCCCAAACCAAAGACACAACCTAAAACACAAAGACAAACACGAACACAAAAACTAAACAAGAACAACAAAAAAACAACACAAATACGAAAATAAACTAGCAGCCCTTCCCCAGCAAACGGAGAAGCCCAAACCAGAAGTAAATGATCGACACAAGACAAATCCAAGACAAGAACCAGCTACCGAAACTGCAATCAAGCCTATACAGTAGAAGACTCCTAACCCCGAACTAGTCCACAAATCGACCCATCAAAGACCTAGAAAGCCATCCACGAACCCACACCGGTTCCACCGAACTCATCTAACACCACTAGACGAGCCGAAGAACCTCCCCCGCTGTCTAACACCACTAGACAAACGGAGAATGCGAGAAGGAAACGGCCCTCAACCCCGTCCGCCACCACGGAAGCCGTCGCAGCATCTGGAGCCACTTCCATCCATAGAACCGCACACCACCAGGCACCACTAAGATCCGCCGATCAACAACCAATACCCATACAGAAGCCCCTCCGGGGAAAGCAGGGACGATCCAAAGGGACCTCAATCGCCGACAAAATCCAAAGGAAAGAGAGGGCTTACCTTCGGCAATCGAGGGGCCGACTACCGGGAGGGGACTACCCATCGCTGACCGGACTCCGGCGAGGGAGAAGGCGCTTCGAACTTCAGACACGCCGGCGACCGAAGGCTGAACAATCAGCAAAACCGCAGCAACATCGGGGCGGCACACGAGTACCTGGACGGACGAGAGGTCGATGACGACCATTGGCAAGCTCCGCCGACGCCGAGGAAGGCGAATCGACGGTGGTTGGAAGAGGAGCGGCGGGTTAGGTTTTTCTACAGAGAAAGAGGGGCAGAGTTCAATTCATTGATAAAATATTGGTGTCGAATTGTTGAGCAACGATGTAAACTGTAGTTTCAGAAAAAAATAAAATATTTCTAATGTATATTGTTAAAGTATAATGATAAATCAATTGGTGTCGAACTGATATATGAATCATTATATTAAATAGAAAATTCAAAATATTTATAATATACGTTATTATAAATTATATAAAAATATTAAAATAATATCGACGCAATTAAAAATTAGTAAATTTTGATACTTTAAAATAATTCACTACCTTTGTTTAAACTAAGTACAGATTTATAGTATTTGTCGCAATTTTTAAATTTTGCCATCACTTATTTAAAATCGATATATTATATTGTAATAAGATATGAGTAACAAGAAAGACATAAGTATTTTTGCAAGTAGTCCTTATTAATAATATTTAAATATGTTAGATTTCCATGTTCTTAATTCTAAACAAAAATTTTAAAATAACAACTATTTTATAACATATTAAATAATTAAATTATATATTAAATTTTTATATATAATAAAAAATAAATAAATAATAAAATTTTAATATTAATATTTAAATTATTTTTCTAATAATTAATAATACTTTATTGATTTAATTTACATGATTTATCCCGACTTCGTACTAATTGTTATTTGAAAATTCCTCCATATATTAATTCAAAACGTGCGGAGTCTAAGTGGCAGGCTCGCATACTTCGGGATCCTATGTGGCAAAATTATATGTTTCAGGCTTGGGTAGATTTTAATTTACTTCAAATCCAAAAAAAATTAGATTCGGATTATCCATAAATATGTTGATTATTTATAGTCGTGATACATGTTTAAAATTTAAGAATAATTTTTTAATAACAACTCGTGTGTAATATACGGGTGTTGTACTAGTAAAAACTGAAAACGTAAATTGATCGCGGTGATGAAGCAAGCATTAAACCTGAATCCAAAGCAATTAAAGATTGCCCAGGCCCATGGAAAAGCCCAGTGTCGAGGAGTAAAATAAAAAATGGTAAATCGTCTCTGTTGTTACTCCATACATACTTTTTTTTTTCGTGAACTATTCGAGAGTGATTGTTTACCAATTCAACTCAACTCAAAAGAAACCAATCAAAACTCAAATATAACTCAACACTATCCTCAATATTATCAATATAATAAAATAATATCAACCAATCATTCTTACTCCAAGTTTAATTCACTATTTATCCACTCGTATAATTTTAACTAACTATCCCTTCTAATCATTTTTTTCATGCTTTACATTAAATCAACTTTAATTATTTTATTTAAATATTATTTTAATATATTCACTAACAACTAACTATTTTACTCTTTTTTAAAATTAACTATAATTAAAACTCAAACCAAATAAAAACTAGTTAGAATCGATAACCCTCTTAAGCACCCGTTAATTGTGTTTCCAAGCAAAACGATTATTCCGACTCCAGCTTCTTTATCATTGTCAGTTCTTTGCTTTTTTGGTGAATTTTGAATTTATGTTGTTTAGTTGTTAATCAAACACAATCGTGAATAGTTACTCGGTACACATATAATTTGCTACATCAAATTACAGACTACAAATCAGAGCAGCTCGTTTTGCTTATGTTCGCCGCACCCGCTTCTCCCATCGCCGGGTTAATATTCTGCGATTTCTTTCTCCGCCGGCGAGATCTCCGATCAGGTAATTGATATTTTTATTTGTTTTCCAATTTATTTATTCGGCGAGCTGCTGGATAGCAGTTGTTGCGAAATCCTGTATTTTCCTAACGAAAATTTGAGGTTGTCCCGTTCAACTTCGAAATTGGCTTTTTTGTAGATTAAGTACGAACTGCAAGTATGAACGCATGATTGGTTGATGTGTGATTGGTGTTGCAGAAAAGCTCGTTTTAAATTGTTTCCTTTTCCGTAACTGAGACTGAGAGCATTTACCTACTTCCTTCGATCAAAATAATGATAGATTCTGGTGTGTTAATAATTTGGTCCTGTGAGGATTTTTTTTTTCCTGGCGAAGTAGTAATTTGCTGAGTGTAGTAAAAGTGCCGCATTAGCCAAATTGCGTTGTGTACTATTGTCTCTTTTTGTTAATTATAATTTATTATAGTTTCAGCCTAATGTCGTGAGAAATATACGTCGTCTTTCGCGTGCTTGAAACAGCAACCTTCCTTTATCTGTCACTTGAGAAAGAAGCAAGTCTAACATTTTCTGATCTCTACTTAGCCAATGGATGTATAAACACTAGGAACTTCGGCTTGCTACCCTGTCATCTGTTTGCCCCATGCAGTTTTTTAATGTTATGTGTGAATGTGATGTTTTCACATAATTATATTAAGATGTTAGGTTGAACCCTTTATCCCCTGGATTGTTTGGTAACGAATAAAATAAATAATTAAATACTTACAGTAAGTTCATTTCTTCAGCCATGGTGAAATAAACTTCTTTTATTTTTTTATTTGATTTCGTCTATTTACGTATTCTTCATGATCGCTTGCAGAAGCTTTGGTGATCAAGCTTGAGGTGTAATATCTTCATGGGGACCCAAAGTCCTAACCGTCCAAGTTACCCAGCAAGACCAGCTGGAACACCCTTTGCTGCTCCACAGTCAACAACGGCAACACCTTTTTCAGCATCGGGGCCTGTGACAGGACAAGCAGTCTCTCCCTTTAGGCCCCCACCTACTCCAGGATTTCAGCATTTCTCGACTCCTCCAGTCATGTCAACTGGTCAAGTACCACCTCCTCCACATCCCTCCTTTACGAGTCCCATCCCTTTCCCTTCACAACTTCAACCACGTCCAATTCCCATGGGTTCTCCACCTCAAAGCATGAAAACAGGACAATCCAACATGAATGTCCCCTTGCCAGCAGATCAACACTCTCTGTTCGCAAGGCCGAATGCCCAACTTCCCCAGTCTTCTTCTCGGCCAGCTTTTCCTGGGTATGCTAAGGCACAACCAGATTCTGTTGCTCAAGCTCCACCTATGCAGCCAGGTAACTTCCCATTGCAACAGGGAGGCTTTGCTCCACCAGCACCTCCAACTCCTTTTCAGGGTCAACAAAGAGGGTATGTTCCTGGTCCTCCAATTACAGCTCCATCAGGGCTTTATTCTGGGAACCAAATTCATCAACATGGCCTTGGACCACCCACCACAACTCCACAGGCACTAGCAGAAGACCTTAGTTCACTCTCCCTTGGATCCGTACCAGGATCGTTTAATGCAGGACATGATACTGGAGCTTTTCCGAGGCCATTGGATGGTGATGTTGAGCCCAAGTGCTTTGCCGAGTTGTACCCGATGAATTGTAGTTCTAGAGTCTTACGACTGACGACAAGCGCCATACCAAATTCTCAGTCGCTGGCGTCTCGGTGGCATTTGCCTTTACGGGCTGTCGTGTGTCATCTGGCAGAAGCACCTGCTGGGGTTAGTCCGCTTTGAAATTGACATTATGTTTACAGCTATATCATCTGCCACTATCAATCTATCTTTTCTAACTTTTCGCTCGGGCTGTCGTTCAGGAGGAAGTTCCAATAGTGAATTTTGCCGCGACGGGCATTATTCGTTGTAGGAGGTGCCGCACTTATGTGAATCCATATGTCACGTTCGTGGACAATGGAACAAAGTGGAAATGCAATATTTGTACACTGCCCAATGAAGGTATGGTTTTTCTGACTGTTAAAAGTGCAGGTTTAATGAGGCATTTCTTCTAGTATAATCAGAGGATATTATCTCTAGTTTACAACTGTATCATGCTGCATGGCAATCCAACACATTTTTTTAAAGTCTTTTTGGCATAGTTTAAAAATAGGTTATCTTCGAGGCTGATTCAATTGGCTTTGTGATTGCAACGGTTCAAAACTGATTCATCAACATTCTCATTTCCAGTCCCAGAAGAATATTTTTCGCACTTGGATGCTACTGGTAGAAGAGTCGATTTGGATCAGAGGCCTGAACTAACTAAGGGTAGTGTTGAATTTATCGCACCGGCTGAGTACATGGTCCGCCCCCCAATGCCACCTCTGTATTTTTTTCTAATTGATGTATCGATATCTTCAATCCAGAACGGAATGCTAGAGGTAATGTTTTCCATTAATTATATTATATATATATGTGTGTGTGTGTGTGTGTGTGTGTGTGTATCGGGCTAGTTATTCTTTCATTGTTTCATCTTGAATTACTGTTGAAAAGAGATAGGGAGTTGACAGTTATAGGTCTATTTGCATGATATACCTATTTCTCTAAAATAGGATGTGTTATCATTTCTGTAAGAATTAGATTTCGGCTATTATCTGTCATAATTTGAAAAGTAGACTTTCTATAGCCACTATATCTACCAAATTATTCATCTGTAATTATAACGTTTGGAATGAATGAGAGGGGAAAGGAGATTAAGATTTGGTCATTGTTAAACCTTTGCTATTCATCCAAAACCGTAGGATTGAAACATATTTGGTATTCAAAAATATTATATGGTAGAAGAAGATAAAACTTCAGTTTCTAATTTTTTTTACCTTTATTCTGGGGGAGGTAGCAGTACTGAACCATATGCTAACTGCAGATCCAGCAGCAGCTTAGTTTTGTCGGAAAGGGGATATCTTTGCTTGCTAGGCTAGCTCTGTTTATTACATGGCATACATTTGAACTTTAACAATTAAAATTCAATTTTAATGAGATGGATAACTTGTTGGTGTTTAACAAAATTGTTAGGGGTAAATCTGAGTGTTTGGGACGCCTGAAAGACATTTTTCATTGTTTCTCAAATCTATGTTGTCTTTTCCTTCATATCATATGATAATTATTTTCTCTGCTGTAAATTTGGTTACGAAACCTGTGTATCCACCTGCCGAAACACTTGGATATGTTAAACATTCACGATGACTGACATTTCTTTTTCTTTTGTTTTTGTTTAAGTTTTTTAGTTTGTGTTTTGCTTACTGAATCTTTACAAATAAACATTATTTCTTGCAGGTTATGGCACAAACTATTAAGTCTTGTTTAGACACTTTGCCTGGTTATCCTCGAACACAGATTGGTTTCATTACTTTTGATAGCACTATACATTTCTATAACATGAAGGTAGAGTGTCACTGTCCAGTTGTCAGTTTATAGTACTTGTAATCTTCCTTTAACTCTGGTGAATAACTAATGGCCTTTTTTTGTATCAGTCATCATTGACACAGCCTCAGATGATGGTTGTCTCAGATTTGGATGATATATTTGTTCCGTTGCCCGATGATCTTTTAGTGAACCTATCAGAATCTAGAGGTGTGATAGAGGCATTCCTTGATAGTTTGCCTTCCATGTTCCAGGAGAACATGGATGTTGAATCTGCATTCGGTCCTGCTCTTAAAGCTGTATTCATGATTATGGTATGCTGGTCCCTTACAACTTTTGACTTGCATTTGCATTACTGAAGTAAATTCTTAAGATTGTGCCTAATTTGGCTTTTAGACAAATAATATTATGATTTTCTGTTGATGCACTTGTAGTTTTAGGAAATTGGTTTCTGTTAAGCTTGATACTAACTAATTATTATCTCATTGTCAGAGCCAACTTGGTGGTAAATTGCTGATTTTCCAGAGTTCTCTGCCATCACTTGGTGTTGGCAGCCTGAGGTTGCGTGGGGATGATATTTGTGTATATGGGACAGATAAGGAGCATACTTTACGTGTACCGGATGATACATTTTATAAACAGATGGCTGCTGATTTTACTAAGTATCAGATTGCTGTAAATCTTTATGCTTTCAGCGATAAGTACATAGATATAGCATCATTAGGTACGCGTTATCCTACCTCAACCTTGATATTTTGATTGGAATATCAAATGACTATAACTTCATTTATGCTCGTTTCAACATTTCCATTGCCTTACACTAGATTATTAAACTGGTTAATTAAGCATGCCATTTAAGATACCGTATAAGTATATTATAGAGCTTGAAGTCCTTAACACGCCCCTTTGCAACTGATTAAAGCACATGAAGGACCCATGCAGCAAGATTCAATAAATTGAGGTATAGGAAACTCACGTATCTTTTTGTTAATGTAATAGGTCATGAAATAGAATGATATCACATTAACATACAGAAATTAGAAATGGAAGGAAGCAGCGCCAATATGTTGAAATGCCGCGAGGTGAATTCTAGAGATGAATCCTTTCATGAATAACCTTGTCTTTTTAATTCTGCCTCAAAATTGTGAAAGATGCAATGACACCGTGAAATTTCCCTGTGATTTGGTTTTTCTTACCATTCCATTGTCTTGTAACTTTTTGGTATTGCCAGATGTAGTGTGATAAATATGCAAGAGGCATTCATATAAGGTGATATTATCATATATGCAAGTTCTACTCTTTGATTAAAATTCCCTGTTTTTTCACTGTTAAGAGACTGTCTTACCATTTCGATTTGAATTCGGTCTCCATTTGCTACTTAGACTACTTACGTTTAACTTAACCTGACATCTCAAGGCACGCTGGCAAAACGCCACGGTCATTCCGAGTTGGAGACTTGGTATTAAAAAAGATCACTGGACCAGACCCGGGACCTTTGAAACCGAAATGGGAAGGACCATTCAAAATCAGTCAAGTACTTCCAAAAGGGACTTATCGACTTGAAAGGCCTGATGGATTAGCTCTTCAATATCCCTGGAATGCTGTCTATCTGAAGAAATATTTCCAGTAAATTCTCTGTACCATATGAACGACTCTGTACACTTTTTTGATGTATATAAAAATCGTGTGCTAAAGAGTCTCTCCCAAAAAAGAAAAACCGAGCACTTTAACTCGGTATTATGTTAGTCTTTATGTAGCCAAGTCCTTTAAACTTGGACAAGACTAATTTAGTCTTTATGTAGCCAAGTCCTTTAAACTTGGACAAGACTAATACTTAAAAATTTTAGGATATTCTTGACTTAACCGAGCTATATAACTCGGCAAGAAATACCTTTTCTCGGTCAAGTTATTAGCCTTCACATAACTAAGCTCAAATAACTTAGGAAGGCTAAGGACATTAATAAAAGCTGGATTCAATATCTTTAAATTCAAATCCTGAAGATTGATTTGAATAAAATCTAAATTTTTCATCAAAGTTGATGGAGTCCATCCATAAAAGTTAGTGCTTGACCGACTTCTTAACATTTGAAATATTCAGCAAAAGTACAGTGACATGCTGAATATAAATTGTGAATGAAAAGAAAACAAAATAAAAACGAAATTTTCATTCATACTACTTAATAAAATTATCCATTACAATAGAAACTATGTGCCTCGACATACCGAGAACACAGCAAAACAAAAAACAAAACAAAACAAACGAAAACAATCAAGTTGACTTTGTCGGGTTATTGGTCTTCTCGGTCGGATCTGTAGAAGATTGACTCACCACTGGATCCTCCTTATCCTTCGCTGCTTCTTTCGCATCATTCTTCATGATTTGCTCGTACATAATACGACTGATAATGTCGAAGACTCGATCTTCCTCAGCCTTTGCAGCTTTCTCAACTTCGGTGAGAGTCACCGGGATGTGTTTGTCCAAAACAGCATCGTCTTCACCAACTCCAGGCATCTCGGTAGCAACTGGCTCGTCAACTTTCTGAGATAACTCGACAACTTTCCTTTCCAGAAACGCTATCACAGCCTTGCGAAGTTGCTCAGGAGTCATCTTCTCGAGCTCTTCCTCCATATTCACCTCGGCCAAGGTCTTAACATATACGTTGGCGAGCTCAGCCGCCTTCTCCTTTTCGGCTTCCAACACCATGTTGACGAAAGACCGACGAAGACGAGCCTCTCTTTCTCGGTTTACAGCAGGGGCCTCAGAACCTCTTGCTTCAGCTCCAATAGAAGCAAGGAGACCCTCACAGAAGCTCTTCTCGTCCTCATCGGCCTCAATGTGAGCAGTCGCAATGGAGGGGTTGAAGTTGTGACTCTTGATTTTATGAAGAAGGAATTGTCGAACCTCTTCAATATCATATAATCCCTCGTCAAATCGTTCGACGACCCAGCACAAATTAAGGCATGTATTCATCTCGAATTCTCAGTCTTCATCGTCAGAATCAGAGTCAATCTTGGCCTTACGTCTGTTGGCCTCGGCTTCCAGAATCTTCTCAGCCCGAAGACCGTCATTGTATTTCTCCTCGGCGAACTTAATCTTCTCCTCCTGAAGTCGGCTGAGGTCGGCGCGATTGTCATTTCTGCTCTTCAGCAACAGTTCCTCGACCTCGGACCGACTTGTCCGAGTAAACTCATGAGCTTCCTGTTCTTTGCGGAGAAGGGACTCGCACCGAGCCAGTTGATCTTCAAGCTCTTTGACACGTTGCTCAGAAGTGATCACTTGGCTTGTCAGCTTTAGCACGTCGGAGTCGAGATTAGCCTTCTCGATTTTCAAGGTCTCGATTTCACCCTGGGCAATTACAAATTGCTCGTCTTGTTCAGCAACCTTAGCTTTCAGCTCCCTTTCCTTGGCAGCTGCCTCTTCTTTCAGGGATGCAATGGCTCCATCCCTGAGTGCCAATGTATGTTTCTTTTCGTCAACTTGGGCTGCGTTAAGTCGGTAATCCTCTTCAGCCATAGAAAGACTAACCAAAGCCCGACCAAGACAAGCCTTGGCGTATTTGAACTTATAAGAACTCGGCAGAGAGGATACCCCAATCTCGGACCTCTGATCCCACACCATCATTGGGACCCGAGCAGCATCAATCACATGGCCAGGCAGCTCAACAGTGCTTGATATTTCAGGAATCTCCACAGACTCAAATGTCGAGAACCATTTCTCGACTGACTCCTGAGGTTGCCTAAAGTTTAAAGCCCTTTCCTCATCAATGGGCAAAAATGATCGATCAACCAAAGGTTCTTTTTTCTTCTTTCCCCGATCACCGACATCGTGTTTCTTTTTGGTTCGTTCCTCTGCAACAGGAACGCTTTCTGCACGCCTCTTCCTTGACCGAGTAACCGGAACTTCACGTTCTGCAACATCTCGGTCACCTTCGGGCTCGTCGGAAGCAACTTCAATAACAGGCGGAGCTTCCGGTGGAGCAAGTTCAACAACGGGAACGATTTCAGATGAATCAGCAGTAGCAGCAGCAATAGCAGCCATCGGACCCGCTGCTGCGATGGCTAAAGGATTTGGTTGCAGGATTTCAGCAGCAGCTATCGATGTCGTACCATCACCGACATCAGCCTTTGGCGGATTCATGATTGGGTTCTCCAAGTATGCTTTCACTAGTTTCTTGCGACCCATCCCTGATAAGCGCAATTCTCTGCTTTTTCCGACTTTTGTTCGAAGATCCAAGTTCGGACTTTTTTTACGGAAAGCTTGAGCGTCGCGGATAGTCTTAAAACCGAGAACACCAAGAAGAGGATAGTACACTGCAAATTGAAAACCGAGTTACGAAGATTTTCAAAGGCAACCGACTTCAAATAAGATTGAAAATTTAATCAAATTAACCTGGTTGAAAAGAGCCGTCAGAAAGCTCATGACAAAGACCAGCAGCCTTCAATCTTGTGTCCTTCAAAATCAGTTTGAAGCTACGTTGTGCTTTCTTCAATTTGAACAGCTCGGTAATTCGTTCTTTCAACGTTCCACCGAGTTTCGATCCTTTGATTTTGGCTGCAAACAGTAAAAGCGTGGACCTGTTAGTACAAAAATAAGCAAAAGTTAGGACAACTCGGTATAAGAAGTAAAAGGAAAAACTTACAAAATGCGGAATTAATATTGATGGGAATTGTCATCCCATCGATTAAAGGTTTCGAAAAATTTGGGGTTTGCCAGTCTCCTCCAACCCATAACCACTCTTCTTGAAATCCATGGAGAGACTCAGGGATCTCGGTAATCAATTCACCAATTTTTAAACCTCCCTGGGGCCTTCCCGCGCATGCATAACAAATCAGGGGATCAGCCACTTGTCTATCGGCACATCGCCTAAATGTAAAGAGACTCCTTATCTCTTCGGTAGTCGGCATATCCCAGCCCTTTTCCTTCAAAAGAACCATGAGACCGATGATCCTCTTCCAGGAATTCGGCGCAATCTGACATAAGCCGAATCCCCAATCCCTTAAATAGTCGGTGATCAGCGATGGGAGTGGAAACCGAAGGCCAGACCTCAATGAGTCCGCAAACACACCCACACAGCCTGAGGGAGGGCAAGTGATCCTCTCCCCTGGATAAGGAGCAAACAACCTCACAGAGGAAGGGATATACACCTCTCCTCGGAGATTGACGATATCAGCGTCAGTCAAGATGCTCGGCTCGCCTCTGTACTCATCAATTGGTTCGGGCCACCGACGAGCAGGACGTCTCCAGTAATCAGGGAGTGACATAGCATCCTTTTCAACTCGTTCATCCTCTTCTACAATATCTTTATTGAGGTTTAATCGCTTCACCAGAAGAGGATCCCACCGATAAAACTCAAGAGGCAATTCCAAATCCTCATCGGTGAAAATTGGAATATCAGAAGTCGTACGACTACTACTGTCTTCAACTTGAGCAGACATCTTTGTCGAAATCGATAAAAGGAGATAGCAAGATTGAAATTGATAAGTAAGAAAATGGAGAAAATTAGGGCAAGCTCTTACCGAAATTCGCGAAAGCCCTGAATTGACGAAAACACGAACAAAGTGCACAAATAACACAAGAAAATGATAAGCAAAGGTTGAAGAAGATGGAACAGAGATAAGAGTAAGAGATGAAAGAAGATAAGGAAACTTCTCGTAAGTCAAAACCGACTACAATTTATAGGTTTTGATTTATAACCGTTAGTAAGATCCAGAAACGGCGCGTGTAACGGACGAATTTCGAACTGATGTAACGTTACAGTAATCATTAATACACGTGGACGTGTCCAGAAACGCCATGCTGTTACAACTTTATATCCGTTGGACCCATTAAACGCAGACGCGTCTTTTAAGAACTGCCACGTCAGGCCAAATATTATACAAGAGATGACAAATAGAGCAAAGTGTTCTCAAGTCGGTCTTCAATGACAATTAAGTTGGAATAACACGGAACAATAAACGACATCAGCAACCATTCGAAAAAGCTCAAATACCTACTAATGTCGGGGGCCTCACTGTTGATATCCGATTTGGTTATACGGTCCGGTTATGCGGTTAAAGCTATTGGAGCAAATTCACCAGAAAAAGACAAATTTAAGACAAGTCGGTATTTATTGAAATATACCGACTTCCGAGATGATCAAGAAAGAACCGACTATGAATCGAAGTCACAAGCGACCGACTTCACCAAACATCATAGCCAGTCATATCGAAACTTCTCTGTTCAAACCGACTAGCAAAAAGTTTGAATATCCAAGCGCAAGACAAGCTGTAAACACTTGATTGGACCATCAAAACAAAAGAGCAATCATTGATGTTCCCCAGATTGAAGCACGCCGCTTAAGTGAAGCAGCTCAACATTAAATACGTTCTTATCCATCTTGAGCAAAAAGACAAAAACTACCGCGCTATAAATAGCAGAATTTATGGTAGTACGAGGATCGGCTTTTGGCTCTGGATAAACACATTGTACATGAACTAAAAATGATGTCGATCATCAAGACAAAACTGACTTCCTGTACTCTAGTGAATAAATCAATCCGAATATAAATCCAATTTTATTTTCATTCAAACACACTCAGCTATTAATTTTATCGTTGTTACTTTCATACAACAACATTTCTGTTGGAATTTGATCGTTTTGTTGTAGTGTTGGCAAAAAAAAAAAATTATAAATAAGAAACAAAAAGAATTTAATAAGTAGATATTTTGAAAATGGTAATAATTTTTCTCTCTCATCTCTCAATTGGTTGGTTAGGGCATCTCCCATGTTTAAATGTAGTTATAGTAAATTACACTCTACATTTACATATTTAGCAATTTATTCACTTTTAATTCTCCAATGCACAATGTTATCACAAATATAATGATGAAGTGAATATAATTAATGTCTACAATATAGAGATGAATGTGGTTCATCCACATTCTCATTCACATTATAACCAACCAATGGACAGTGGAGAGAGAAATATTATTACCATTTTCAAAACATGTAATCATTTAATTCATTTTTTTTTCGTATTTATAAATTTCTTATTTTGGCCAAGTGGACAATATTGTGTTTGATTATATTGTGCATGGGAGATAATTTTTTAGAATTAAAGTTGTGAACCTAACAATTATCTTATGTGATTCACAATCTATCTAATTAATTGACATTTGTCAAAATTTATGTAATAACAACATTTATGCATTGGAGATGCTCTTAGAATGTGAAAGATAATGTAGATGAACTACATTCTTCTCTACATTGTGGGACGTTAATTATATATGTCCACCTCATCACTACATCTGTGATTACATTGTGCATTGTAGGATTAAAAGTTGAGACATTGCTAAATTTGTTAATATAGAGTGTAATGTACTACAACTACATTTTACCATTGGAGATGCTCTTATTCCATATTAAAAAATCTAACTCAATTTTAATACAACCCCACTAATATTATCAATATAATTAAATATATCAACTATTATTCTTACACATCACATCAATTTAATTCATTATTCATTAACTCACATAATTTTCACTAACCAACATTCCACATCATCTCTCATATTTTTACATCAAATCAATATTAATTATTTATTTTACGTATTATTTTAACATAAATTAATTCAAAATTCCACAAACAATTAACTAGACCATATTTTTTAAAATTAACAATGGTTATTTAACAAAAAAAAAAAAAATCTGTTTTGAGCAAATATATTAATATTCAAGAACACCTTAAGTCTCTAATCATACTACGTTTCTTCAAATTAATCTAGATTAACCAAAATAATTCACTTTGAGTAAAAAAATTTGTATCCAATCACGCCTTCACTTTTTTGCTCGGCCTATAGAGCAAAATATTCGTAATTTAATCAATTATTGGGCATTTAATTTAATTTTTATCTCACATGTCTAAAGTTTCCTCCACTGCATGACATTGCCTAGTGAGATAATATTGTTAATTTTATTGTTCTCTAAACTTGTAATAAAAAAAGCGTACACAAGCAAGATTTCAAATGTGCATACTTTCAAATTAAGTTATTATCCTCGATGTAAATAAAAGTATGACATTTTATAAAATAAGTATGCAATTCTATTTAAGGGTATGGAAACTTAATTCGCATAATACAATGTAAATAAAAGTATGATATTTTATAAAATAAGTATGCATTTTTATTTAAGGGTATAGAAAATTAATTTGCATAACGATTAGAATGTCTCACACAAAAAAAATTGTAAAAGTTTATTGTTACTTACGTAGCTTGTTATTCATATTATTGCATCAGAAAATGGAAAAAAGCTTGATGATATTNTTCATACAGTTATAGTTAAAATAGCTGAAATATTAGAGTGATAGATCAATCAGGCCAGAAGGGCATAAATATGTATCACGTAAAATTAGAAGTTGCATCATAAATGTTGAGATTTTCTATGCTTAAGATATAACTTTTTTTAAATATTATATCATTTTAGTTATAATACGGGAAGACAAATTTCTATCTTCACATGACACAAAAAGCTGTCAACAATTTGAGTAGAGCTTAACTTATTAAGTTAACGAGCCAATAAATAAACTTGAGTTTAGTCATTAACGAGCCTTAATGTACCGATTCATGTTAAAATTTTAAAAAATTACATAAAATCTCCATTTAGCAAACTCGGCTGGATAACTAAACGAGCTTTAAACAAATTTATAGAAGGCCAATTCTTTCGGCCCAATAAATGGAGTTGGGCCCACTGGGGAAATCATGATTGATCACTTGCTCCCAAAACAGACCCTTTTATTAATTTCATGCACTTTTCAAAAACTTTGTGGCTATTCAAAATTGAATTTTATATAAATTAATCATAAACAAGTTATAAACTTTTTAAAATTAACAACAAAAATAATGAAATTTAAAGGTAAAGGTTGTCGAGAAAAAATATACCCCCGTTTGACAAATGCCATTCACGTCATTGTGCAACCACTATTTAGTAATTAATAATTACATATATAAAGTACAATCACTGCTGCTACAGTATATGTTTAAAACTATCTATAATAGCTTCAAAATTAATTAATAAATTAATTTTGTAGAACTACTATCATTAAAATTAAGATTTTTTATCAACCTATTTTTATTTAAATTATGTATTATTAAATAGATATCTTACCATCTAAAATATTATTTTATATTAATACAGCTTATACATTATTTTTCACATAGTCCGTGAAAATAAGTATTTAAATGGCAATCAATATATAAACATCAATGCAACAAATGCCAACACACACATAAAATGTATAACAACGAAAATCAAGGATTAAATAGCAGGAAAAAAAAAAAAAAATCCTTGGCCCTTTGAAACCCAAATGCGGTTCGATCCATAAAATCATTGGGAGAGAGAGCACAAGCCCAAGCAAATTGGTTATTTACTAAAATTGAAATCACATATATAATAGTTGAAATCACATATATAATAGAACAAATAATTGAAGAAAATTGAGGCATATGTGGCGCAAAAATTCCTCCCTAAAAAACAAAAGGTTCGGATGGGAATCAAAAATAGAATGACATAAAAAAAATATTTTTTATTTTACTAATAAAAAACAACACATCTCAAATCACATTAATGGGCCTGAAGTATAAATAAAATAGAGGGACATTTATGGGCCTGAAGTGTAAATAAAATAGAGGTAAGAGTGCAAGCCCAATATAAATGTAAGCCACCTGAAATAATATAAATAAATAAAATAAGAGTGGAGAAGCCCAATATAAATGTTAGCCACGTGTCAAGCTGTGAAGAAAGCAAACTCCCGCTTATATGTATGTAGAGCGAAATCTATATTTATATTTCATTTGTCTACATATAAATTTTGTAATATTGTGATTGATTAATTTGTCTTAATCATTACATTGATATTGGTAAGTAATTTTTTGGTGGTTATATTATAACTAGTGTAATAGTATATATAAATATAATATAGAAAAAATAAAACATATACTAGTTTTAAGTTTTCAATATTTACTTCCTTCTTATTTATTTTTTTCAATTGTTTGGTAGGCCAATATTTTGCTGGGTTTTTATGGTATATTTAATATTATTCACGAATGAGGAGCCGAGCTTGTGGCTGCCCACTGCGTTTTTGTATGCCGTTTGTCGGTCGTTTGTACTACAGTTTTGATCTATAAATTTATATTTACCGATCGAAAAAAATATTACCTTTTATCCTGTATTTGCAGTAAACTAGATTATCTGAAGGACAATAATATATGTACAATTATAGTTGGCAACATTAATTAAAATTTTCATTGATTAAAATTTTAACAATACATTTATTAGCATCTCAACCATCCACATCACGCCATGTTGTAATGAAATGTTTGTAAAAGAAATTGTAGAAGTAGCCTTTTCCTTATTTTAAACACTAGTTACGTACTTTATAGTGAGTTTATAAATGCAAAAATGTGTTGCACAATAAGGCCGGTACTTCAAATCTTGCTTGGACGGTTCTGAGTTTACCGAAGATGTGTTCACTTATTGTGCAAAGAGAAAAAAAAATAATATGTTGTGAAGGCCGGTACTTCAAATCTTTTAGAAAAGAATATGTTGTGTATCATTTTGCCAAAGAGAGANAATTTAAAGAAAAAAAAAAGTGGTAATATATACAGTTTTTGTGACTTAACCTTGAAATCCGTAGGCAGAAAAAGGTAAGCCAAGCAAAATCACTCTTTTGAGCATTTCATTCTCAAATCACCAACAAACCCAATTGTTTAAGCTATCATTCCCACAGGAGCAAACAACAAGAAGAACCGAGAGATCACTTCTTCTTACCGAAATATATGATGTTCGAATGTAGCCGCAATTTACTCAAACCAGCCACTTACAGGGTAACATGAACTTCCACAAGAGAATCAGTCAAGACTACGCCTTTCGTGTTTTGATCCGATTTCGGGTGGTCCCGACAGTTGAACTTGAACCGCACGTGTAGAGGTCTCATGAATATGAGTTCTTCGAGATCTCTGTCTGACATCAGCATGAGCTGTTCAATGAGTAAATCCCTTTTGAATTTCTTCTTGGTGTCTAAGATATCAGCTATCCTCGACGCTTTATTCTCCCGGCTGTTAACTTGTTTATTTGATTCTTTTTTCAGCCGCAAGTAAACCGCAGCGTAAATAATAGCCTAGTTTAATCACCAAAAAGAAAAAAGAAGGAACAAAACGAAAGATGTAAATAACATTTACTAGTGGTTTGCCCCTTGTTCCAAAAACAATGTATGCATGCTAAGGTCTTAAGTAGAAAAGATTATATCTTAATTACCAAACCAAAAAGTGAAAGAAAGAAAGAGAAATCCCCAGTTACCAAACCAGTGGACATGCAATCCCCAGGATTTATTACAAAAGTACACCAACGAAATTTAAATCTTTAAAATACTTCATCACTATGGTTAAATTTTTTTCTTTGGTTTTTCTAATTTGTACTTCCTCACCTGCTCGTCCAATTTCTTCTTTCGTGCTCGACTCTTCTTGAGGCATTGAAAAGCTGAGATTATCAATTTCATCATACCACTGCTGAGCAATACCCACCTGGAACATGCCAACAATAGCTTCAAGCCTTGAACATCAAACCTAAAGCCTACAGATGTAGCATTTTTCAATTACTATGATGTAGGCCTGAGATTTTTTGGATTCTCCTTTTTTACCTTTTCAGATGATTCAGCCTTGTCATCAACTCCTGAGATCTCAATAGCAGACCCTCTGGCCTGGCGCCATATGCATCCTTCTTGTGGCCGTTCAATTAGTTCCGTGTGTGGAGGAATATCGATGTCCAGTGTTATATCAACCCTCCCTACGAAATACAGAGTGAAGATGTGTTTCATAGATTTAAGAGTTCTTTTATGAAAATTGTGATCCAAAACCATATTGGATATATATAAAAAATGAAGAAAGAAAAAAAAAATTTGTTCCACTTGAGAAATAGGGTTGAGAATTTTTTGGAAGCAAAATGAAGAACTTTAGAAATTGTGAAGGGATATAAGATGGAAATGTAATAATTAAAGTTGATTTGGTGTAAAAATAATTAATAAATGAAACTGATTGGTAGATCCTTATGCGTTAATGGTGATTTTTATTGACAAAAATGTGTGAAGTATTGATTGATTTTAATAAAAATTATGTTAATAAAAATAAACAGAGAGAAATGAGAATAAATGAATAGTTTTACCAAAACAGAAAAATGAAACGAAAAATGAAATAAGTTGATATCCAAATGCAGCTTATTAGTTTTCAGCACTCACAAAACCGAAGGAAAATAACTTCGGTTATATAATTTGTAATTGCCACATAATCACATGGATTTTATTTCTCAATTAACATAATGAAGAGAGTAGTGGAAAGACTGACGTATAAGAGAGTGTATGCAAGGAAAACATGACAAGGATAGAAATTTGGTTCATAATAAAAAATAAGTGAAGACCTGGCAATAAGCGAAAGCATTGAGAATGATCAGGGTCTCCGTATGGATCATCTCTGTGGAAATTAAATAAATAAATGAAATCATATAGTAAAACAAGGCTAGCAGAAAGAAATTTCCAAATCTCCATTACTCACGCAGAGTAGACTCGTTCGAGAGAGGACACTATCCAATAAGGAAGCCCTAAAACCCCAAAGTTTTTGAACTGAAAGCTCATTGCCAACCCAGCTTCCCTTCCAAACTTGACCACTGTCTGACCAACTTCAGAAAATACAAGTAGTCAACATCTTATATACACAGATATAAAATAATAATAAAATAAACAACACAGGAGTACGAGTGATGACAACATTGACAAGTTTGACTACCTGTATCAGACAACACTACATGGTCCCCACAGGTTGCCACTGAAGACATAAGGCCAGCATATGGAATTCCTTCAAACGAGCACGTGGAATGTGCTCGTTGCAGTAGCCAATCAGCAGGCACATGTTCCAATGGAGCGCATTTCTCCAAGATCGCCTGCCCACATTTCTCCATAATCTTTGAAGGTTCTTTCAATTAATGATAAGTTAGTGAACTACAGAGTAATTTACATGTGAATTGGCAAGGAAGGAAAATTTGTAAAAACAGAAAAAGAAAGAAAGATAGAAAGAGAGAGAGAGAGAGAGAGAGAGAGAGAACAAAAAGAAATACCTTTTATAACTTCTTTTACAGAGCCTGATTCCAAATCTATGGTCCAAAGAGTTCCAAAGCTGTACCGTGCGTGATGAAAAGATATCATACTAGGTCAGGCACTTGTAAGAAGATTAATCTAGTCAAAATCATAAGAATAGGCAAATCAAAGAAAATGACAGTTCTAATGTCCGAGCACCTAAAAAAGATTAGAAAATGAAACCAGAAGCTCCAAAATGAAAGCAATAAAGGTTCTACCTTTGATCAAGTACATAGGTATCAGCACCGGATGACATCAGAAGATGCCAAGGGAACAAAAATGAGTCGGAATTGAACTCTTCCGAATGTGGCTTTATATTCCTGTTCATCCATATTTTATCTAGAATCCAATTCCATAAACTTCTGCTCCTCTTGCTATCACCAGTCACTGGGAAAACCGTCTCCACAACCCTCCTCTCCATATCAGCTTTCCTAATTGCATGGTTCTGTAATGAAAGAGGGAAAAATATTAATAAACAAAAACAGAAGTCTACATGGAAATACAAGAAATGATATTCTCTTCAGAGTTGATAAGGAGGCGCATACCTCAGAGTCGATAAAATATAGGCAATCCTCAGAGGCATGATAAAATGAAGCTGCAGGCCGCATTAACTTTGCTGTCTCAAACTCTCCATCCTTAAATCCAGGAGACGAACCAATCTGACAGGATAGAATAATTCTAAATTTGTGCACTCTCTCTTTCTATGTACTGAAGAAGCCATTTTTGAAAAAGAACATAAATCAGGTCCTAAAGAAGAAGTAAATATTAAAACAGTACGTACAGCATCTAAAATTTTCCCATGGCTGTCAAACACGATAATCCTGTGGTGGTTAACATCGGAAAGGAACAAGCGGTCACCACCTTCCTCAACTGAAATGCAACCTGCAAGAAAATCGACACAATTTGGAATTAGTCGGCACCAGTGTTCTGGGTATTAGTCTCGCGTACAAGATAAAAAGTACTCACTCTGTTTCTTTTTAGATGTCGTTTTAATTTAAAACTTCTACAACAACAACAACAACAGCATACCCAGTATATTCCCAACAGGTTTTCATGGGATGTGTAATAATCTTATATATTAATCCTCATAAATTTAGTGTTTGAATTATTAATGGTTGGTTTTTAAAGATAATGATAAGAAATAAAGTTTGTTAAAGAGGATAAAGTTGAAAGAATGAATAAAATATTTCCAACGACAACTAATTTGCAAAAATGTTGACATCCTACAACGACATGTATTAAGAAACAGAGGAAGTATCTGGTTACTAAAATCTGCAGAAAGCAAGGAAAAGACTACCTGGGAAAGAAAACAGTAAGTTCCGTGAAGCAAAACAAACATCTGGTTCCTTAATGACTTCAATGGGCTTGACCCAAGTGCTCTTCGCATCATTAACATTATCTCCCTTGTCATGTTTCACCTTCAGATCACGAATTGCTGCCAATTGATAGCAGTTAAAAAATGAGAGTTCTTCAATAAATGTCATATCAAGCACATTAGATCACACCAATGTGAGACATCAATACACTTCAAGTAATGCAGAAAGTCACTAGACAAAGTCGAAATGAACTTAAAGTGTTGGTCCATTAATCAAATATTTGAATTCATAACGGTTATTTTCCGTTCTCTTTCATCGAGAAGAGATTGGACAGGCCTTTTATAAATTGGCATTCATATTTATAAAAATGCTGTTAATCTGTACCTTATCAAAAGATTTCCTCTGAAAGAAAAGCGTCCTGTGTTTTACCATTTGAGTAAACATATTGGGAAAAAAAAGCTTTAAATGCCAAATCTCCAATGAAATTGTACAGGGTATCAACTTAATGTATTTGAGCACATAGAAGAGAAGAAAGAATCATAGTTGACTGTCTTATTTCGCATTTAACTTAAAAGTATCTGATTATTTTTTTCCACACTCAGGTTTCTGAAGTTTGTATTAACTTGTCGTCATTTATGAACTTATATAAAAATCATAACAAATTGAACTGCAATATAACATGCAATATAACAGTAATCTGCTTCACTCTCTCCAAACAAGGAAGAATGATGAGCACTAGTACCTTCATCGAGTGTCTTAAGATCTACATCATCGCCAGGGTAAATCATAGGATTTTGGGAAAAGCCTTTGGAAATGATGACGCAGGGTGCCTTTTGCATCCATACCTAAGAGAAAGAGGTGGGAAAAGAATAGGAATGCAATTAGTGGGAAATGGTATAGAAAAAAGGGTGACTGTGTATCAGTTCAACAATCGGAAAAAGGAACATGCCACAATAGTTTGAATCAAAGCATGTGATCTGTCAAAGGGTATATCAAAAAGCTTTTACAATATATATTTTTCTTAGGTCATTCATTATCAGCCAAAGAGAATCTGCTTGACACACAATGTATGCCTATATATTATAACATTTTTGATATATCTGCCAGCATATGCGGAGAATCAAGGCAGTAAAAGATGATAGTAAAGTTCTAATTTAAGAGCAATAAAGGAAACAACCAAGTACATAGCCACGGGGATACAAAAGTAAACAAAGAACTATATATCAAGTCTGCGCTAGTCGTGAACTATGATCATTTTTGGGAAATTATTAAGAAAAATAAAGAAAAATAGGACCCCATATAATTCACAAACCTTGTGGCAACAAAAAGGTTTACACATCCAAATTAAGCAAGGAATTTGTACTTAAATGATTCACAATCAATAACTAATCACCATTGCTACAATAGATTTGAAGGTCTATCACTTGCATAGGACTAATGATAAAAAGAATAAATCCAAGAGGAGACACAAAAGTCTCAAGATTGCCTATTGCATTAAGGGCATGCCTGTGTTTGTCTGACTCATAAACAATAGAAATAAACTTACCAACTTAAAAGAAGAGCCTAGAAAAAAGAAAAAGCATGCCATGACATTAAACACATTTTTCTTAAATTAATAGGTTTGATACATCTCTCATGCATAAGCAATTATTTACATCTTCAAGTTAACATTATGAAGAATGAATCCAACAAATCTCCACCAACATGTTTTTAATGAATACCAACCTCCGATATACTTTGCTTGTTAAATAACAAGATAGGAAAAGTAACATATTCCTTAATGATTCTCTGGAGGAAATGCTTAGATGCATTGTTGAGACACATTGATTTTCCGTGTTGTACAACCAGAACTTGAAGGAAAGAATACCTGCAATAAAAAAGCTTGTAAAGCACAACCATCATCGTGCTCTTTAGCCAACCCTATAATCACCGAGACCTAGTAAGTGTCTTGGACATAAATATATATCAGTACCTCTGGTGAAGTGCTTTTACTATTTCAAACATCTTGATAGTATTTTGTTTAGCTCCCAAAGAACCATCATCATATTTCCCAAGGAGAACTAGGAAAACTTGGTCTTCCTTGAATAAATTCTTGCTGCTCGAATAAGAGTTTAACCAGCACCAATAAGGGCCTAGAAGTACATTTGTATGAGAGTCTGATTTAGCAAATAACACTGAAATCTTATATCATAGATTAATCTGTTGAGTCTGTATGAAGATAAAGTAGTGCTAACAGTAATATTAGCAACCACTTTTTACTCAAATAACACAAGCCCAAAAACTGCAGACCGGGAACACAGGCAATATGTGAACTTAGAGGTCAACATATGACGTGCCAAATAAACCTCAGGCAGACCATGAAATCATATCTTTAATCCTCAAGACTCCTGAGAATTTCCAATCCCTAACTTATACAACACGGATAACAACCCTACATATATCTCACTGTCTTGATCTAATCCATTCTTTTAAAATTTGAATGAGCAATAATAGCTTCAAAAGAAACAAGCACTCTCACCTCTTGGCTGATTAAGAGAAGACCTAAGCATTGACCAAAACTCATTTGAAGAGGTAGGACGCTTTGTTTTTGATATGGAGGAATACCTGGAAAAGGCTATCATTAACAAGTTAGAATGCTAGAGAGGGAAGAAGGGAGGGAGAACCACTCATGGAAAAACTGACTAGCTTTATAGGCATGAAGTGGAATAAGGAAATATTAGAAAACCTATGAGAAGATGGTCATACAAAGATCAAAATTTGTAATTGCTCACACAATTGGTTTGGCTGTATTTATACAGATGTCCAGTTAGTAGCAAAATTACTGATTCAAAAAAGAACCACATAACCAGACCATTGAAATTCGACACAGTTTAGGTTCAGGTTGATTCTCTGCAGCCCAAAAAGAGGAAATATTACTCATCCAATTTGGTCCAGAAAAATACAGTTCACCAACGACACATTTTACATATATAGTCATGGAAAATATTTGCAACTTTTTAGTATTCTACCTGATATACATGCCATAATTAGATTAGTACAACACATCATAAGCACTACTGTATGCATTTTCCAAAGGAATACCATAATCCAACAAAAAGAACTTCACACCCCTGTCCAATTTAATACTTACAATCAAGAATCTGCACTTAGTTTCAGCTTCTGAGTTATTTAATTCTTGCTACCATACAAAATAGTTAAAGTAGAAGTTTACAGAAAATTACTCGGTAAAAATTGAAACCCCTACCTTCGCTCTTGACAACCTGCCAAATCTAGCCTCCAAGAGATGTTACTGCTCGCATTACACCACCTAGATAAGTGATGTACAGTACCTTCAACAAGATAAACCAAGCAAATAAATGAACGCAGAAGATGAGAGGTAGAACAGCTCAAACACACATACAAACACTCACACAAATCAACACATAGCAAATGAACGCATGAAAATCATTCATTAGCGTTTTCAGTAGCATCATTTACCGGGATAAATCTTGGGCATAACCCGGAAAATATGACGCATTCGTCGAAACCCAAAGTGCATCTTCGATCTCAGCACTGATTCATCGGGCTATCAGAGTCTATTGATGGCGAAGGTCGGACGTTACTTTAAGCGCGGTGGGAATAAACCAAATATATGAACACTTTCAGCACAACTGCGAAGGGCTGTAACGAAAAAACAAGCTGATGAAAGAGCAGTTGACCAAAAACAAATCCTAACACACATGAAAGGAATTCAAGAGCAAGAATTACAAGGAAACCCCTAAAAGGTCTAATCTTTGAAACCCATCAAATACATGAATTGGCAAGTCTTCATCTATCACCCATGGAATCCCCCCTTTCC